TTCCCTCAAGTGTAATTAGTCTCTACAATAGCTGTCTCTTATACACATCTAGATGTGTATAAGAGACAGGTATATAACAACGATAATAAAAACAAATATAATATTAATGACCAACGTCAGCGACACGTGGGAGAGGCATTATGCGGAGGAATTGTTAAGTTCAAAGTGAATTGGAACAAAATACAAGAAATCGAGAACTAGCATGTAACATGGGTATGTTTCTGTATAGTAGTCAATCTTTACAAGAAAACAGTATCTTTCACACAGATCTCTAAACTCAAAGCAAGACAAGGTATCGATCAAAGCTCTATACACGATCTATCCATTCGAAAAGCAGTTATATTGTATCAAGGTGTAATATGTAATGTATAAAACGAGGTATGTTTACTCCGAAATCGGAGTGTCTGTGCCCGCCGCCAAAACTCAAATTTTTTAGGTTTTGCGTACTATACGCGAATACTCGAAAATCGGAGTTTTCAAACCTATAAACAAACCTCCAATTTCGGAGTTTCTGGGTACTATCGATTAAACAAGCTCTCTCTCTCTCTCTCTATATATATATAGATATATATATATATATATATATATATATATACATCGTGTTTATTAAAGCATAGGCTTTTACATCTATATTTGTAAAATATTAAGTTTTATTCTTAGCAGTACATTGTTCTGTTTGTTATTGTTTATTGTTGGTGTATTGTACAAACGACGGTGGCCTTTGAAATATTCGTATTTGGGGTTTTTTTTGTATTATGGCTTCAAATCAAAATTTACTTTATCAATAATTACAACTCTTTCAAAAAAAAAAAAAACATAATATTAAAAGTTTCATTCAGCAATCTGTTATACCTTATATTCCGCATGGAGTCGTCACATGACAGAAAATTTCCATAAACGTTAAACCCCACACTCCTTAGAATGTACGGGCAAATGCAATTTTTACCAACACAATAAGCGGCTGGGTTATATGGCCATTAATGCCAATTATTATATAAATCAATTTTAAAAATAGCATTATCCACTGCACTGCATCCTCTACTAATGTGGTCCAGATGGGTTGATGACACTTACGTTGTTAATTGGTATTCACGAAAAAGGCCATAATGATTATCAAAATACTGACGTATATTAATTTCAATATAGAAGTTGAAGGAGACAAACTTGAATTCCTTGACACTTAATAACATTATAGGTCTATTAAAGAGTACAGCATTAGAATAACCAGATTTCAGAAACTCAACCCATACTATGATGAATGTTTTAATATTGACTCATGTATCATTATAATTGATCCGAAGAAATCAGTAGTTTGAGATTTAATAGCCCCATCTGGAGCAAACCCTTTAGCACGTGTGATGTTTAAACAAGCAAAAAAGACAAATTATCACCATATTTTGAATGACATGAACTTGAGATAAACGCTGAATTGTTTACAATTAAGAAAATTCAAATCAGCTTTTGCTTTGCATTTCTTGAGTAGTTTTTCTAGGTTCCTCAATTCTGACTTGCTAACATCGCTGTTATAGCCTAAATGAATAATAGAATCAAAAGATCGAAGCAAAATCAAGGTGAACACAAATTTTAACGAAATAAAGCATTTATTTGCAAACATGTTTCCTCTGCTTCCTACAGGCATCATCAGTGCTAAGACCAATTACTGAAAGACTGAATAAAATAACAGCTCAGGTGTCGTGACACTTATCTTACATTAACGTTTAAAAAACACATTGCCAAAGTTTAATTCCAATGTGTAAACTACATTTGACTTACTGCTTTTATTGCTTTTTCATACCACATAATTTCATATAATTTAGAATAATTTTACCACATAGTGATTTCTTAAAAATTATTTTTACGTCTGGGATTATGGCAAAAACTCATGAAACCACTGATGAATTGAAAGTATATCTTGAATTGCACATGTAGGCTTAGGCCTACTTACAATTCAACGGTTACCGTAGTTCGAGTATTTCTGAGTTTGTGTTCTTAGAGCAATATGTTCCTCTGCCACAGTGTCGCTGCGCTGGTGTTTGTTGTCTTGTGTTACTGCGAAGTAACTACATCGCAGCAACATAATTTGAATTGTCAATTTGAAAGTGACCTTTGTGGGTTCCGAAACGATGAAAACGACGATTTAAATTGGATCCGGAGAAGTCAAAGTTTTGGTGAGTATACTGTATAAATCCTAGTATTATGGAATAGATTCCTCAATAGTAATATACTTTCATCTTATGTAA